AACTCCTGTGGAGTCAATGTTTGTGCAGGGAGTGAATTACGAATTTTCGAAGTAGACCTGAGGCTTAATGATGGGTGTGTAGGTGTTTTATGCTCTTTCTCTCTTCTGTAGACATTTTGGGGATCTTTGCAGAACTGCATTTGGTAGGCCTGCAATTATTTGTTGATATGCTTTCATTGGTATCCATAAATGTGAGATGGTTTTGAGTTTCTGTTATGGCAAGAAATGATGGATACAGTCACAAACCCAGGATTAGCTTCTCATCAGAATTAGTTGTATTTTTTTAAGTATGGATCCAACCATTACTTGCAAAATCAATCAGATAAGCCCTTCTCAGAAAAGGTTTCAAAAAGTTGGCTCAGGTACATGCAATAGGAAAAAGGGTTGGGTGAAGCAGATCATTCCCCTTGGTATCCTGCGGCACACATTCGATTGCTTCTTTAGGCAGAAGCATACTTGCGTCAACTATCAAGGTTGCAGACATGTAATTTCTTAGTTGCTGGAACAATGTGTATTCCTTGGAAACCTTTCTATATTCTAGCCACTTATTCAAAATAGTAAGAAAGGGAGGCTTAGAGCTATTTCATGACCTGTATGCATAGCACAATTTTTTTAATTTTTGGTCAAGTCAAAGAAGAGAATAGAGGTGAATAGTCAGAATAGATCAGAATTCTTGAGCAGCAAAAGTTAGTAGGATTTAAACAGCACCCTATGTAACTTTCAGGTATGTATCCCTGTTAAAATACAGAATAATGTAGAATTAGATCAAACTCTTTTTTTTTTTTACAGCTGATTTATTAGGCCTTTAGTTTGATTGTACCACACTTGAAAACTAGCATAGTTATGGCTGAGGCCATCCAGGGTTGGTAGCTTTAGGGTTTGCTTGTCTTCTCAGGTTATTATCCAAGGGTGTTTACCTTGTCTGGCAGGTTTCAATGCAAGGAAGCTCAAGGAGGCCGAGTTGGAAAAGGCCAAGTATTATAAGTTTCGTCTGAATGAAGTATTCAAGCGTGTCAGCGTGGATGCCATGGTGGCCCTTATTGCAGAAGTGGCTGTATATGATAGTAAGCTCTCCCTTTATCAATAATCCCATTGCAAATATACATTGTTTATTGTGAGTGTTGTGATGTAGGGATGAAAGCAGAGAAGGAGGAAATGGAGAGGAAACAAACAGCAGAAACCAGCACAAAAGAGCTTCTCACCTTGTCCCATGCCCCCGAAGGACCTGGTAACACTCTGGCCAAGTATGACATGACTAACAGTCTCTGACTGCTCTCTGTAGGTTCTTTTCCATCAATAAAACCCATCTCTGCAGTCTAATGAGAGGCACTGGTGGCATCGATGAAAGGCGATGGAAGAAGGAGCAGGCAATGAAAGACGAGGCGTGGTCCAACCGGCCGTACCTCCTCCTCGACGTGCGCTCAGAGGATTTGTACAGAGAGCAGCACATCAAGACGGCTCTCAACTTTCCCCTCATCCGACTCAGTCGCAGCATCACATGGGAGACCCAGGAGATGACATCCTTTGTATCCCTTCTCACTAACCACCTAATAATCTTTCTCATTCCTTTCAGCTTTTCAGTAAAATTCCTACTTGCAAAATACTTAGGCTTTTGCAAAGCAATGATTTTCTCTGGTGTTTATGTAGAAGGCCAACTTCATTCCAGTGCAATTCAGAGTACTGGAAAGCTGTGATACATCTCTATTTGATGTGCTAGTACCTCATTACAGTGCTTGATAGTTTTACCTTTCTATCTACTTTTTGGCTGCTGGAAAGGGGATGAATTAAAATGCACAACATTGTCTGTCCTAACCTGTTGGGCTACCTCTAGCAACAGTTTAAATTCAGACTTGGCTTATGTTGATGTAGAAAGGAATGGAATATGGCATTGAGACATCCTTTTAGCACAAGCATTAAACCTTTCACTGTTTGCCTTAGTACATATTTGGGCTTGTGTTGTGGTAGCCCAAGTATGTTCTCAGGCTCTGACCATTGACCATTTCTTGGTTATTTCACTGCCATTTATGTGTGTAACAGCTACCTTCTTTAGTTTTTGTGGTATGACATTTTAAACATAAATTATTGTTTTCGGGCAAACTGTCCCAATTTTTATAACATGGACAATGGTGGATATTTTTTGGCATAACAGGGAAAGGGTTAAATACACCTCATAACCCTGTCTTTGAAATTCCCATCTGTCTCATTTGCCTTGACTCGAGATTCAGAAGAACAAAGGAGAGAAGATCATTGTGGTATATGATGAAGATGAGACCCTGTCACACCGAGTTGCAACCACCTTTGTCCAGAGAGGATATGAGAACATTTTTATCTTGAGTGGGGGTCTTGCACTCATGCGAGACCGTTACAAACGCTGTGGGATTCTTACTTCACCTGAAAAGGGCTCTACATTCACTGAAGAACAGATCCAGGCAATGAAGAAGAGATTGGACAAGTTTGACTTTGGTGAGTTCCCATAGTCCCTTATTCTCATTGCTTCTTTCTGCTGGTTGCCATAACATTGGTTTCATCATTTTTTTTCTCAGCCTCTGTCCTGACTAAATGCATGGGGGCAATAGAGAAGCAGCAACCAGTGCGGAGATGTCGCTCTGAGCACAGTCTGAAGTCATCCCGTTCTAACTTCCATCTCAACTGATTTTGAATGCAGTTTCATGTTGTCTTGTGATATTTCTTCATCCTACAGCTAATAGGGCCCTGAAGGCTGAGATGTGATACTCGCCACTTGGAATGAAGTCATGTCGAATGGTCAAAAACAAAATGTGAGGAAAGTGGCATGGTAGAATGGCTAGATAACTGGTTGCTCTAAATACCTGAGAAGTTTTGGATTGGGTTTGGTATGATTTTAATTATGTTGTCTACTAGGTGAATTTGCCTTTGAAAATCCATGGGAAATAAGGAGATAACGTTAGCACTTCAAAGTTAGTTTCTTGCTGGACAATGGATTGAGATTGAGGATGGAAGGAGAGGTGAAGGGGCACAAGCCATCCCCAATGCCATCCAGAGCATATAGTGTTGGCCTTTAGACATGACTTCATTTTTTCCAACATGAACCAACCCTTGCAAGTGTTCCCAGTAGGTAATTGTTTCTTAGATGTTCTCAGACAGCAAATCCAGCTGTTTATTGAGAAAGCTTTAATGGGTGTTTTGCATTCTTCTGACCTTGATGTGCTATGTGATGTGTTGATGTTCACATATCAGAATGGTCCTTTGATGTGCTATGTGATGTGTTGATGTTCACATATCAGAATGGTCCTTTGATGTGCAATTTTTTGTCTTTAGAAGTAAGTTTAGGTACTGCCACTTTACTCTCTGGATGCAGTCACATGGGAGACTGATACTGACGTACAAAGACTTTGCTGTGAGTTGTGACCATGGAACCAAAATCCGTCCCTGACAATCGCTTATCTGTGAATTCCTCTGGAATGTTCCAAGAAGTGAATCAAATTTCTTTCATAAGTTCCATCTCTTGTATTTTCACTTTTTCAAACACTATTGGCATACTGAAAGCAACATAGGAATTCCCACTGCACTTTCAGTATGCTGTAAAGCCTTGGAACATACTAAACCACCATGGCTGCTGTGTGCCTCAGCAAAAAGTCAGAAACAGAAACCTTGTAGATAAATTCTGCAGGAAAGATCCATTTCAATCCATCTCTATGAATCACAAGGTCAAAAAACTGGTGACAATTGACAATCCTGGATGGAGACATAAAAACTGACGTACTGACTACTTATACTGAGTGTAAAGGACATAGAAGCTCCAAGGCAGCCACAGGAAAATGTAGCAAAATATGAATATATACCTTTAAATTGCAAGTTCATGCCAGATGCAATCATTTTTGTGGAGGGTGGGCTAGGAACATGAGACTCAGATGTATTGTGAATAAGAAAAATTATGGGACAGACACTTGATTCAGGGGAAATCCAGAGGTATCATCACATGAGGGGCATGGTTTTCAGTGATGGTAGGGAGTGGGATGCTCTGACCTCCATACTCTGTGCTGACCAGACCCCGACAGACTAGAGCAAACTCTCTCACCAGTTCACCCAGTTTTCTCTTGTTGGTTCTTTCCCTGTACCAGGCAAATCCACATTTGATCCTCAATTCTGCAATAATCTCCACCATCGTATGGCGATTAAAAAACATACCGAAGGATGCTCTTGCAGAAGTTCTCCTTCTGCTGAGGAGAGACCCTTGGTGTTGGGAATCCATCTTGGGACAGGGATGCTGCAAGCCATCGGGACAGGCTGTCTGTGAATTTCTTGTTCAGGGCCAGCAAGACATCGGTCATGCAGTCTGAGTTTGCACGAGGAGACTCTCCACCTGTGAGAAAGAAAAGAAATTGTAAGAGGGGGAAAAACAAGACTCAGCAGTCAAAAAGAAAAACATCTAGAAAAGTCACCAATGAAGCGAAGGGTATGGTGGACAAGGAATTCCCCCTGGGCATTCATCACAGATAGAAGAGGCTCAAGATCCCGACTTCGATGGATGAAATGTGAGAGAAAGGAGGCAGCTGCCTTGGCTGTTGGTGTTTCTGGCATTCCCAGGGCAATCACACCTACAGAAACCAATTAATCCCTTGAACCGAAACCTCATTAATCCATTCCATTCACATTGTGTCGCACTTACCGAGCTGAAAGACCTCATTGAGATTCAATGAAGGATGTGTGAGGTATTTGGGATGTTTCTTCAGCGCATGTGCGAGGAGAGACAGGAATGCTTCCATCGTGTCAGTCTGTTCCCGAAACCGGTTGTCATCACAGAGGCGCAGTGTAGACGAACACACTTGATGAAAGAAAGAGCCTAAGGCCCCAGAGTGCTGTATCTCGCCTCCATACATCACAATTAGCTACATGAAGATGAATGATACCCACAAAATTAGATTAAAGTACCTGTAGACATCACATTATCTTCCATCAGTGCAAAATAAAAAATAAAAAAACTGGTATCAGAGTGAACAAAAACCTGAACTCCTCATATACATGCTCCAGGTGCCTGAACATTACATCGTATACATGATACCAGGTATTAGAACATCTACTATGTCCTAAAAATCTTGGGATTTTAACTTTGGGATGGGATGCCATACCTGCTTCCCAAGCTCCAGGATGGTGGGATGAGGGAACATCTGATACATGTTCACAGCCATGGTGACCAGGTCTGAGACCATTGGAGCACTGTCATCCTTAAGTGTTGACAGTGCCTGCTTCAGCAGAGAACAGACACCCTGGAAACATATCATAACCAAATTAATCTCTTTTTTTTTGCCCCATTCAAATTTTAAATGATGCACCAAACAAATGAATATCTTCAACAAAAATTTGATTACCATCAAGACAGAAGTTATACCCCTTAGTAGCACCAATGACACTAACAGATCACACACAAGAATAACAGAATCACAATGTATGGAAGAAGTAAGAAGGAAGTGAGCTCAACAGAAAAGCTATCTGCAATCACGTTCTCACCTCAATGATCTCACAGTTCCCGCACCAGTTCTGCGAGATGTGACGAAGGGTGGGCATCAGCTGCTGAACAATGAGAAGAACTGGCTGACATGTACCAGGGGTTTGAACCACTGCCTTCTTCTCCTCACTGTCTGGATTTAGGTCCAGGCAGGAACAGAGCATCCCAAACATCTTCAGGTACACAACCAGGTTGTTTTTCACTTCCATGGATGCCTGCAGATCATAAGGGACTCAAGTAAAAGGAAACGGTCACATGAAAGTGATGACTGGTGATGCACTGGGTATTTTTTAAATATATAACTTAGCACACTTAAACAATTAATCGGGATAGATCCCATGAAAGTTAGACAGAAATTAAATGGGGCAGCACCTCAAGTTGTGTGAGAGCTTGGAGCTCCCCAATGCAAGGGGACAGGAGAGTATCGAGGTATTGGAGGATCTGATTTGAGGGCAGAAGGGAAAGGACACGACCAGTGGGGTACATCAATCGGACCTTTTCTGGCGAACGAATCTCGCTGCTTCCTAGTGCATTCTGCAACAGTGCACAACCAAAACATAGAACATAGAAAACGGTAGCAGTGCAATAGACAAGATCACACTATGCATAGATTGTCAATGATGATAACTTTTACATTTCTCTTTTGAAATGCAACTCCTAAGACGAGTTGGGGTTTCCATGAAATTGCTTGTAGCCTTCATATATGAAGAATGGATTCTCCTAAACTTATTTTGAAACAAAAATCCTGATTTTGATTGAACTCGATCAGCTGAAAGCAATCACTAAGCATATGAAACACAGATTAAGTCTACTTTTCCACAAGTTGAAAGGCAAACAAGGAAGTCACCTGAACAGCATCCAGAATCTGAGGAGCAAAGGGAGTGAGATGCTCCTGGCAGTCTCTGGCCAGTTCCTTCAGGGCAACTGAAGCCGCACCAGCCAGTTGGGACACCGCAATCGAATTCAGGACCAGGGGTAACACTTTGGGGACGAGGGAAGGTTGGCCGACCATCCACTCTGCATACGACCCTGGACGAGACACAGACACCCATGAACCCAGTGGGCCTCCTTGAGTGAAAAATCTCTGTGGATCGAGACTGACCGATGGCAGAGAGGGTGGTGGAGATGACTTCCCGGTTTCCAGTTTCTTGGATCACAGGCACAACATGAAAGAACTTGGGGACGGCAACCGTGTCAGCCGAGTCGATGCAATCGGCAATGGAGCAATACGCGTGCAGTACCGATTCTAATGCCTGCCACCGATCTGGCTGGTATTCACTTACAACTTTCTCCAGAAACCCATCCAAGAGTTCCAGCATTATCTCGTGCAACAGTGAGAAGCAATACATCTGCAAAAATCACGTATTTCATGTTACCATACTACTGTGTCAATATGGAGGGTAAATAAAAATAATAAAGCGTCAAAATGGTACATCCATGGCAGTCAGCATTGTGCAATTATACAAAAGCTGACAGGTGATAGCCATTTACTTGAAACACAATTACTGGTACAAACATTTCCATAGTGGGTGAGAACTCCAGCATTGGTGTTGTCATTACAACTGAATATTGTGTTGGCCAATACCAAGATTCCCACACAGCACTAGCATGTGAATGCACTTTTTTAGAGGAGTTTCTTCTTAAATGGCAAATATTTGCCGAGTACAATCAATTCATAATAAAGGACAGTAGAAAAAATCCTACTGGAGTGCTGTTAAACGAAACACAATGAACTACTCACAAGGGTGTCTCCCACATCCTGGCGATAACAGCGGAAGCTCTCCTTCTCGTCTGCCTTCCAAGAGTCCACATAAGCAGGGTAGGCTCCTTTCGTAAGAAGAACTTCCACGAGAGTCTTGTAGATCGGATAGAGGACATTCTGGATCTCTAACATCCCCACGGGAGTGGTACTTGAAGCGATGATTTCATCCTGAAAGCAATAACAGTCCTCTCAATATCATTGTTGAATTTGACAAGCTGTATTCAATGCAACATACCTGCAGCAGATACCAAAAAGTGAAGGCCTGCTCAGAGCAGACTTCATCCACCGGATAGTGACCCGGCAGGGCTGTGCACTTCAGAATGAGATGAATCAGCTTGAGTGCGAGTTCTTTGGAATGCCCTCCTTCCACAATCCACTGAAGGATGAGCTTGGTGTGACACTCGCCAAAGCCAATGAACACGGCATAGATCGATGACATGAGGTCCTGGAGATGAAGACAAGAATATAAAGAGACAACCATGGGACCATAATTACAAATATAAAGTGAACACACATACCATATCCTCTTGTGCTTCAGCTTCAAGCAGAAAATCCTCCAATCCAAACAGCTGCTCCAGCATACGCTGCACCACGTGGGGGTACCTGCGTGAATAAAATTGCAATAGAGGTGACAACAGATTCTAGCCATGCCAGTGTGACAATAGGCCATACCTTGAGGAATCTCCCTGAGTGAGCATGGAAGAGAGGACTTCCAAAGCAGATGCAGCCATTGAGGGTTGTCGCACAGTCCCCAGGATGGCAGGGAACAATGGTTCAATATCTGCTAGGGAAACCCCAAGCTGAATCCATGCAAGGAGGCAACGGAGGGCAGAAATAGGGATTTCGCTCTCCGGCAATGATGACAGCAATGCATCTTGCGCCACAGTCAACACTGGAAAGTATTCATCAAGTTACAATCACCACACACAACTCCGCAAGCCAAGTTTTACAAGGAAAATTAATTAAAGACTGCAACTACAGTGTTTACTTTTACCAACTTATAAAGCTCTAGCAATGCATACATTAAGGGAATGAATACCAATTGAATCTGAATGATGGTGGAAGAACTGACATTAAAATTACTATCAATTGGGCATTCTCACCTTTTGGAAAGAGCTTCAGTAGACAGTTCCTCACCAACCCACGCTGATTTTGGAGGAAACTTGTGTTCTGAAACTGGAAATGTACAGGAATGATTCATATTGCTGCAATAGTGGTTTTTTTTTTTTACAACTGATTGGATCAAGTTGGAGGGTCAATTTTCCATATTTTCCTAGTCTGGTTATGCTTAGCAACTTTTAAAAATAATGCATTGATTTTTTACTTTCAAGAATGGTGGGATACAGATATTCAGCTTACTGCAACATAACTGCATGGCTTGTGTATGATATAAGTTTAACAATCCAAATGATAACTAGTAGCAAATGATATCACATTTTATTTTGAATTGTTAGGTGTCAATAAAGGAGTTGGCCAAGAACATGGGGGTTTAGCCTGCCCACCTACGTTGCAGTCTGATCATGCAAGGAGGAAGCAGTCCAGTTTTCCTTGCTGATAAAATCTGATTCAGATCTGAACTCTTATTGGAGTCAAAACTTGATGTGTATAAAAAGTTGTCAAGTCTGACAAAAGTAATAAAAATAGGGGAGGAAAAAAAAAGAACAGAAAGCAACTATGGGGGAAAATGCTAATAATTTTGAAGTAGAACAGGAGGGAAAAAATTATGAACATATTCACTCATTTATGTATGTGTTTGTTTTCACTCATGCTTTCATATAAGAAATCAATTTTGGTTGCCTATTGGAACCTGTTGCCAGGCCTATAGGGCTCAAACCAGAAATTGGTCAACATTCAACATACTTATTTAGAAGGAACAAAATGCTGTAAATGTGCTTAATTAGGAATATGTGAAATGCATGGTTTTGATAATTTGTAATGCACTGTTATCCAGAGAGTAACAAGATCCTGTGCAAACCTCTTCAGGCAACAATGTCAGGATTTCCAACAGTAGGTTGCTTGGAGGAGGCACTAATGATGCAACTGAAGCCAGGATCTCTTCACATCTTTGGATTTCATGGCCTTCCACCGTATGAATAAGGAAGGCAGCAACCTGATATGAAAAATCATGAGAAGAGATATGTCACCATACCATATGCGACATGCGTACTTGTAGGAGGTCATCCCAATACAATTCTACTCAGAAACACTATTTAAACTCACAGATTGCAAAAGTTTATTAAGAACAACTTTGGGTCCCCTAGAGTATTGTACAGACAGAGAAAGGAGCTTTGACTGGAGTTCATCTCGATTCGCCTCCGGGACTTCACGCCAGAATTTGGATACTTTCACATGAAGAGTGTTGGCAGAGAAGAACTGCACTTCAGTGGGCTGCAGCACAAGAAGGGAACATGAGACTTAGCATGTGCACAAGGCATTGATGGAGCCAATTAACAGAACTCAACACTAACACACCTTGTCAAGGCTAAGAAGATCCCACACAATTTGCCAAGCATGAGGTGATAATTGGATCACAGTTAACCACTGATGGACCTGACTTTGACCTCCATTGCCACTTGTATAAAACTGCTTTATAGCTTCTTCAACTTGATCTGATGTAATGTTGCTGATTTCCATTTCCACATGACCTAAAGGGATAATCTGGGATTAATAAAAAAATGGTGTCTACCTGCCCCAGTCAAGGTACCTTACACCTGTACAGGCAGGTGTCCACCAGACCAATTAAGCCCGAAAATTCTCAATAGTATTCTTCTAAATTATCTATTCTACCTAGTAGGCCCACTGCTTAAACTTTGGCTTCTGCAAATCAAACCTTTGATCAATAGGCCTAAAAGTACATATTATTGCATACTCTTGCTACAGTGCAACCATATATTTATGCACATCCTGTGATACTGTCCATACCATTACACTTTTCCCAACAATCAGTAACATGATTTTTCCTTTTTCTTATCCTGAATGAATGATGGATTAGCTTTGACAAGAATAACTTCACTCCAGCTGTGGGCAAATGTTCTAAAAACTCAGCTTCAAAGGTCAAGAACACATACCATTCATATTTCAAAATTTGTTGCAATCATATCTAGTGTGCCCCTAATTCATATTTAATTTGCACTAGAAATTTAGCTATGCTTGGTTTCCAGTACAGGAAGTTCAGCCCAGCACAAATGAATTAACCATAAAACTTATACTTTTAAACAAATTTTTGCTTTAGATCCAACATTTTCAATAAAAATATGTATTTCTTCAATGGCCTAATTTCACATGGAAGATCTTAGGTCAAGTCCATATTATAGCTATCACTTTGTATAAAGACTTCTGTGAATCCATTTTGATCTCCAGGACATGTCTCTGGGTTGGTCCATGAGATGGGATGAGAAGTGGGGACCAGGTTGTCAAAAGGAACAAATTTTTACAATTGGGCTTTCAAATATGCTATCAGGCTTTGAGGGTGAATGAAATTCATACAGTGAAATGTGATGGAATACATACATTGCCAAACAATTATCACTGAAATGATGCTCTTGCATCATTTTTCACACTTGCTGCAAACAGGGCAGGCATCTAGGACAGCAGTAACCATTTCACTTCATATGACACCCTGATCTAGGTAAGACACTTCAGATACATAAACGAGTGAACTTACAAATTAGAAAGTGTCTTTGAGCTAGCAGTTTGCCCAGATTCAGGCAGAAATTGAGATTTTCCAGGCCAACTGAATGCAGAGTGAAAGGAGTCCTTTGCACATGCTCTAATGCAAATCAAGTAACAAGCCTGGCTCGATGGCCTAGGCTATTCAAGCACAGAGCCACAACATGGAAGAGCACCATGCACTACAGGTGCAGTGGGCATTGCAATGGCTAAAAAATAATTTACCCAAATTTTGCGAACTAACTCAATGCATTCAACACATAGAAGTATTGCATCAAGTATGCAATTTTTAGATTAACTGGTTTGAAATGCAAGAAACTCAAATGATTCATGGGTCATGGTTACTAAAGCCATTCATTTACTGCCTGAAAGCCAAGATGGCTTTCATGTCTAATCATTTCTCTCTCTTCCCTCACTTACACATTTTACAACAAATGTCTCTGGTGTGCTCAGTTTTCTCACTTTTAATATATATTCATTCTGGATGATAAGCAAATACAGAAATGTCACTTTTTTTTTTCTTCACATTTTTTAAATGGGACATTAAACCATGCAGATTGTCAGAACACTTGCAAGGTCTGACCTCGACTCTTCATGTCAACCACACCAGCTATTACTGGCACCTTTGCTTGCCATACTGGACCTCCCAAGGACAGCCATGAGTTTCTTTTTCTGTGATATGCTGTTGATGATATGATATATTCCCCTTCCAATAAAAATTAGCTTCATTACTAATTTTGCAAAACAGCTCTAATTAAATTTACCTTTTAAGTGACACTTAAATAAATACAATCCTTTCATTACCAAGTAATATCATAAATCAGGGGTCAGGAACCTTTTTGGTCATGTGAGCCATATTAAGATTGAGCCAAGTGCTTATGAGCAAAATATTTTCAGAATAACATAATTTTTCCTGGTGTTGGCTATAAACACATGCATTTTTCAATACATGAGAAAAATGAACAACCATGGTTTTCAGCCACACCTCAATGAGCCAAACTTTTTGGTTCTTGAGCCAAATTTGGCTCATGAGCCATAAGTTGCCGACCCCTGTCATAAATAATATTTTATGCCACCATCATACCCACACTGCTGGGAAAGCAGACATCTATGACTCAGCCTATGATTCTGTGCTTTGCCTGGTAACCTTATATATCACATGATATTTACAGTGCTTTGAAGCCAGATACATTCCATGCTCCACATGAAGTGACTGTGAAACACCAGGAAAACATTCCACATCATCAGAACTTGACTTCGGGTGAAACAATAATTAGAAAAATTATAACCTCATCAGCTTATATATATGATGTAGCACGAAATCAAGTATCAATCATGAATCCTATGTCCAGCAATGAATCAAGTTTCACATTCTCTGATTTTGCCCCTCCTAGGTTTATCTATCCCACAGCTGAAGGTAGCTTTTCCTGACTTTCTGCCCAGTTTCAGGCATTAGACTATATTCATTCATTAATTCCAGCTGCATGTAATCATTTCGGAATTCAATTCACAGCGTTTAACACTGAAGTAAACAGCACGAAAGGAAACATTGCATTCAACTTAATTATGTCGATTCCGTTTTTCAATTACTTCATATCAAAAGGCATGAAGTATAATGAACACTCAGACCGTAATTCCTTATCCTCTAGTTCCATTTCATAGATGAAGAACAACACCAGAACCATTCACATTTCAAGCTACTCGAGGATGGTCTAAGCATAGATTGGTCGATACAAATTTCGGTAAGAAGTGAAAGGAGTAAGAATTACCCCCAATAAAACTATGTAAATTGTATCGACACTGAAGGCCAGACGTGACAGTGTCCATATAGCGAACAAACAGGAGTTGCTTGTAACTTGAATGTTTATTTTGGGAAGGAGAGGTAGGCCTACAAGATGCACAAATATGCATAGGCTATTGATGCTATGAAGGCTAAAAATTAAAATTCTGACAATCTCGAATTGCCTGGACTAAGAGGAATCGCCACATGCTTCATAGCGCGCTGACATGTTACAAGGCAAATTCGTCTCTCTTCTCGACAGTGAAAGGGAATCGCAGTCATTTCCTTATTCAACCATCTCTCAAAACGAGCGAAAGCCACATGTGAAATACATATCGTTCCATGGCTATATTATTTGTCAATTTCTTACTTCGTCCTCGCCTCGAAAGTTAATATCAGCTTTCAAAATTTCACAATTTCGACACCGAAAATTGTCGTTATTGACCTGAAAAATAAGGGGAGTCGAAGAAGCCCATACCCCCGCTATGTGTCTGCCATTGTCTGAGAGCTAACGTAGCTAGCGTAGAGAACTTTTGGCCTAGAATGAAAACCCGTGAAGAGAAGTTGTACTATTAGCCAAAATAGACCATTTTCTCTTGGTGTTAACGTCAAGTGGCATTTTCAGCATTTGTTGAATATAGGTTTGTGTTCTGGCTAGGCTGAGGTAGACTTAGATTTAGTCCTAGGCCTATTTTCAGAGCAGAAAAGAGTTCCTTTGTGCACATATGGTTGTCATTGCTCATGTTAACCCCCTACCTGTGTTTTTTGTAGGCATAAGCATAGGCCCACGTCTTTTTACCAAAATAAACCTGGTTGAATGGAAATTCTGCCGAGAGATATCATAATCTCTCGGCCTTCAGGAAAAGTAAACCATACGGATAAATGCATAGAGAGGAAGCATAAAAGTCAATTAACCCCATTGTCATGTACCCCAAATCCTTTTACTGCTTACCTGAGAATAATGAATAAATGGTTTTATTTAGACATTGAAAAACTCAATGAAACACTAGAACACCAAGTGAATACTTTTAACAGACCTGCAGTTTTGGATGAGCTGTCTTCCATGGTTCTATTAGACATGACAAAAAACGCTAGGAGGAAGGTCTCTCTTGTAGGTAAAAGATTTTGTATCACTTAGGAGTATCAGCAATTAGTTCAGTTGGCTAGCTAGTTGCATAAACCCTAATAAGACTGCTGTGTTAGGGGTCAGTTTTATTATGTTTTCTGTCTTCAATAAATTCCTATTCATTATTAAGCCATTTTTTATTTGGCTGATGTTATGTTACTCATTTCATATTGTTTTACTATGTTTCTTCCCCTTTATGTTTTTATGTTAATTTCAGGTTTATTACTTATCTTGACTGTTTTGCCTTTCTGTCAGTTAGACCAATAAGAAAGTGCATGTGTGAAGTGTAAATCTTATCAACAAGGGTACTATAGGCTAACCCTTACAATGTGTACTCCTAACTTTATGCCAATGATTCTTTTTTGTCCAAAAGATCATGTGAAGGTGGGCTAGGAGATCTGGTGAAGCCAGACTCCCTAGAAGTGGGCCCACTTACAAGTAGGCCTTTTGGCGCTGTTTTGACAGCATCACTAGTCCCAGGCCAACCAGCCCCCTGCCTTCTTCTGGCAGGATCAACTCAGGAATTTTCCATGCGTGGTCATGTCGACATACTTGGGGCACTCTTCCAGTGGTGACATCGGGTATCTTTGCAGAAGCCGTAGCTACAGGGGAGTGCCCATCCGATATGCTAATTCTGTAAGTATTCTCTTCTCTTGATGCATGAGACATGTTTACTTTTTTGTGACCCTGATGGCATGGTCACATGATGATGACTCAGGGAAGCCTTTTCAATATGTTCTCTTTGTGTTGCCATTCTTCCCCAATTCCATTTTATCAATTTTCATTTGCTTTGTTTGGTTAGTTAGTGACTGATTGCAGTTATTAGTGGTGTTGAATATAAAATAATTATTTTATTTGCTTTTGCGTAGCAGGTTTCCTCAATGATTTTGCTAAAACCTAAATATTAGTGGAAAAAATGTGCAAGTTATAGATTAAATTAAGTTATAGATTATTGAATCTCAAATGTTGACTGTCCCATACTAGTACACGTTGTATGTCATAAATTTTCTACACGTCAGGGGATGTATGCTATTTAGGCTGACATGGACAAAGTCTACTGGTGTCAGCAGGAAGAGTGATCTCATA